GCCTGGCGGGCAAATGCAATGAAATTTGTACTCTCCCAACAATAAAAACTACTTGCCCTGGGAGCTCGGGCAATGGTTAACATTGAGCCCTGATATTGGAATGTTATTAAGTCAAGATATAATGGAGATGTGAATAATCTGTGAAGTTTAATATTAGAACGTCTTCAGTGCCAAATAAAGCTTTTAAAAGTTTTCAGAAGCATTTCAGATAAAACTTTAAGCATACTTAAGTATTTTCCCTTCAAGCTGTACAGAGTTTTCCAATATAAACCTTAGTGTCTCATGATACTAAGCCTCAATGCAAAGGGTTGTTGTGTTGCTGTCAGTTGTCATCTGTCAGTTGTTTCTTGGCTGGGCTTATTCAGTACCTTAATTAAAGATCCAGGGCTTAAACAATTTTTAAACAAGATTAATTGGATTAATCCCAACTAATCGATTATTGAAATAATCGTCGACTAATTTAGCAATCGATAGACCACTAGCTGGAGTATAGAGACTCTAAAACAGGCCTTTAACAGACAGATCGACCCACTCAGAATTAATTATACAAAAATTGTAAAATAAAAAAGATATATTTAAGATACTCTACACCTCAGTGAAATGAAGCGTGCCTAGTCAGTTACCCAGCTGTACTCGGGGAAATTTTTTTTGGTGAGTGGTGATGGCGCCTGAAATTAAACCTACCCTTTAGCCATGCAATCCTTTTGTAGAAAAATTGTGAAACACCAACAAGGAAATCTTTGCACCCTTCTCCCATACTTGGTTTATGTCCACCCCAAAGCATCACTTCTCCTTGGCACGTTTCACAAAAAAATAAGCCGATCAGATTCCCAATGCCTGATTCTTTAAGCTCAAACAAAAACAAATAGGTGTTGCTCTTCTGAGGTTTACATGCTCAGCTTCACAGCTTAGCCAGACCTACAGAGACACTATATGTAAAACAGAATTTCAAACTGTATGTTTTGATTTAAAAATCTTTTGGCCATTATGTTGAGACCCAACACTGGATGGACTGGGCTGCAGTCCACAGGCCTAAGAGCTCATTTTATATCATCCACTTCTCTATGAAACTCAAAACAGGAAATGTAAATGTCCAGTGTGTTATTTTACTCATAACAGGTTCAACTAGGCACTAATTATCCTCTGACTGCAACATTTCTTGGTTTGTTCTCTCTTTCTATCAGTTTCTTTCTATTCCATCATCTTTTGCATTGTTTTTTCCCCCAGCATTTTTATTATTTTTTTTAATTGTCATTACACTGTAACCAGTACAGAGCAACTAAATGAACTCTCTGCATTTAACCCATCCTCTTGCGGAGCAGTGGGCTGCCATTGTGGTGTGGCGTTAAGGGTCTTTGCTCAGGAACCAGAGTAGCAGTCCGTGGGAGTGGGATTTAAACTCAGAACCTCTGGATTCCAAGCACAATGCCCTAACCACTAAGCCGCCACTCCCCCAAGTTTCATTCAGAACTCAGCTGAGTGAAAGGAAAAAAAATCCCATTTAAGATAAAAAAAAACAAACAAATATATAATTTAGAATTTTAAAAGAAAAACCAATACTGATAAAATGATTTAAAATAGCAAAAAAAGTTCCATGTTTTTGCGACTCATTAAAGGAATTTAAATTTGTTTATTTTATAGGGTGTGTTTAAGGCCGACAAAGGCCGACTTTGAAGTCCTATTACATCACTACGCTGCGATGAAGGCTGTCTAAATTTGAAAATTATTATTGCCTAATCTTATCCCATGATTTATTGCCGGTTGAAGTTGATTGATCCAGTCGGGGCGGCAACTGCAAACAACCCCAAAAATTGTGATTTTAAAAATTTATATTTTTGGTTTCTGTGACGGAAAGTTACCTTTAACCCTTTATAGGGCAAGTAGG